CGTTTCAGTATTCGTCATCATTCTATTTCTTTGTTTGCCAATATTACTCTTTCTATCATTGGTAAATAATTTTGCATATCATCTTCCTGACATAACAACCATTATATCAATACATATTTGCCAAATATGCAGTATTTTGTTTGGCTAATTCGATATAAAATCTCAGCATTATTTATTTACAAGAACCTACAAGCCAATGTACTGATCCTTTGATTAAATATGCATAAAAAAAATCATTAGGGGGTTAATGTCAAAAATACTGTCAGGGTGTCTGGTGTCTCTTGTAAGGATCACAAACAAAATCACAAGACATGGTGATTTGGCAGCAAACCAAAGATTTATTTGGGAAAGTTGTCCTTTTTGGGATAGACAGGCCCAATACAACACAAAAGTAAATAGGAAAAAATAAAATGAGCTAGTTTGCCATGGGGAAAAAAGGCACAATTCTGGTGTTACACTTTACGGAAAAGGGGAACAATAATAGACAAATTGTGGAATATCAGACTGGCAGGCCCCCGTATTGGAGAGGAATCAAACAAAACACAAGTTATTACCTGCTCAGGCAAACATAATTAACTCCAATAATCACACACACACACACCACAGAGAGAGAGAGAGGGCAGGAATCTGGGAGGGGTGAGGCCTCCGTACTTCCCACTATACCAGCCAGGACCACAATGGAAATCTAAAAATTGATTAGTCATGTACCGAAAGCCCATATATACAAAAAAAACATCCATCCGTGTTCTATACCTGCTGGTACAATGCAAGGTTAGGGGGGTCTGGAGCCTATACCAGAATCTATAGGCACAAGGCAGAGAATTACCCATGACAGCCAACACCATTCACATCTACAGCCAATTTTGTAACTGTGAGTGTGAGGGGAAGACCGAAGTAGCCGGCAGAAACTGCACAATGACATGGTCAGAATGTGCAAACTCCACACACATGGAGCCACGACCGGCATAGAACTCTGCTCTCCAGAGCTTCAAGTGAACAGCAATAACCACTGTGCCACCACCATTTAAAAAAACCCAATATATTTTAATATATGTACAGAACCATTTCCCACACAAATCAGTAGAGACCTACTATCCAGTAGCTACAAGACGTATTACTTTCTACTGTCAAAGAAGAAAAAATGATTTAATTTTAAATTGCTTTATAAACATCAGCTACAATATTAAATTGTTGTTTTTTTTCGACTTTCATATACTATAGAATAGAGAGAGCAGTGAAAGAAGTCGGCCTTTAACTTCAAGGCAAGTAAAGTTTCACTCCTGCTTTTTACAAAACAACATATCTGCAGACACAGAGCAACAGAAATTTCTGGTGAAAAAGGCTGGGTTTGTAATACTTGGCTTGGCTTTTGGAACATTTATTGAGTAAGACAAAGGAATGGCTTTCATTTTCACAAGAAAAGATAAGTATGAAGATTGCAATTAGCAACGTTGCTATGTCATGCCAAATGATTTTAAATGAAATAAAAGGAAAAGCGTGAAATCTGTCCACTACTCGACGTTGGAAGATGGATGGGGAAACACATTAACTACTACCTGCAAACTTTACACACACACAAATGAGGTGGGATTTGAACCCCTACTGGGCCACCAAGCAGCCAAACCTATAACATTAATTCATTTTCTTAGTTGCATTTGGGTTATGGGATCTGATCCATATTTTATAAGGTTTTCATCTGCTCTTTCTTTCTTTTTGTTAGAACCAGAATTGTGGGAACTTACCAGTGCTCAGCCAATTTAACGTCTTTTCAGCTGAAAAGTTTGAGACAGGACACTGTCTGCCTGTGAAAGGCTACGTGAAACTTTAAGTGCCTTCTGAATCCATTAGGGCTTTACTGTTCTCTGTGTAATGATCACTCTGCCATACACCTCTATGCCCCATGGACAGTCTACAGCTTGGTCAATTTCATTTCCAGAATCATAGGGTATTGAAGGTTTTCTCTCTCCTCTGTGGAATGGTCACATGGTTCACATCTGAGCGTGTCGTCGATCCTTCTAAACAACTTCAGTCTATAGTATATTGGATTGCCTGTCAAATTTGTTCTAAAAATCACCTCACAACCTGTGCTGTGCCATGCCAGGACCCGGCAGTGGGTTCTATTTGTCTGTCCCCATGTTCCAGACTCTCTACTGACTAGACCGACACTTTTTGTTGGGAACCTCAAAAGCCTTCAGTGATAGAATGATTTATGTTGTGCTGTAAAAGGCAGAGCATTGTTCCGAATGTGCCTGTGACCTCCTGTAACAAACCACTTCAGCTTGTTTGGACCGGGATCCCATAACTTGGGTTCTCTACTCATGACCCACGAGAGCTTTGATTTATGTAAGGATCGACCCACTTTCGTTATTCTCTTTTCTAGGTCTTACAATGTGGAGCATTGTTTTCTGGCCTTGCTGTGAGTTCTGCTTTGTTAATATAAGCTTTGTAACCACAAAGGGAACCCAAAGGTTCGTATTGTATTGTGCACCACGTAGCATTCTTAAATGTCTATTTTTATTTTAATTATTTAATTAAAAACATGTATTTATTGTTGTTTTTGGTAATATATTTAAAAGTAAGCCTTACAGCAGTAGACAGCAAGTTAATTGAGGGTGCAGATTCAGGAACCCACAGGGATACTGCTGTAGGGCACTTGAACATAAGTGGCCACTTTTTTAGGTACGCCTGCTCATTTACACCTATAAACACAAAATCATGTATCTGTGACTTCATTCATAAAGCAGACAGGCAGGGGGTGCAGGTTCATTTACTGCTTGCCAAAGCTTTAGAATGATGCAATGCATATCATCTAACCGATTTCGAGCGTGTTACGATATATGGTAGCGAATGTGGTGGATCCAGCATCTCATAAACAGCCAGAATTCTGGAATTTTCACACAATACACGGTATAGAACTTACAGATGATGGTGTTATAAGCAAAAAAAATGGTCTGTCTTCCATACCTCAAGGAATTCAGGCTGTTCTGCAGGTAAAACTCAGTAATGGAATTTCAGCAAATAAATATAAACATAAAATAATTCTTGTTGGTGTGCAGCTCAGCGGTTAAGGGATCTGGGATCTGTATGCATGTGCAGAAAGTTTAGTTTGAGTCCTGTGGTTGGCAGAGTAACCACGTTAAAATTAAGCCTGTGAGCAAGGCCCTTAACCTAGTTGCTCTGTATGCTGGCTGACCTTGGGCTCTGAGCCCAAAACATTCTCTTACCTGTGTATGTGAAAACCAAAGAATTTGCTAGTTTGTTTTGTTTGTTTGTTTTGTTTGTTTCTTTCTTCCTTTTTCTCGTTCCACATAGACGTACCGCAGCACATGAACACTTTACAAGTTACGGTAACTGTTGGGCAAAGGGATTGAAACATACTTGGGTTTCAAGAAAAGTACAGTCAAAAGAGGATGGAAAGTGGCTGATCAGACAATTCGGTCTGCTGAAGGCTTATTTCACCATTAAAAGGCCAGAGCAAAGGAGTAAAGCAAGAACTGTAAATGGCCACCCACCCTTTGCCCGGGCAGTAAGTGTGGAGCCATTAAAGGTAACAGGGTCCGCAGTCTCTTACTAATTAAGGGATTTTGGGGGAGGGGAACCCAAATGGGCAGAGAAAGACCCTTAAAACAAACTGCAAAGTCATGTATTATATAAGGCTGAGCCTTTGGGTGGCATAAACAGAGGAGCTTGATGGGGAATTTACTTCACCCGATGGAATAGGAGTGACAAGGTCTAAGTTAAGAAAGTGTGCCAAGTCTGAAAGGGACCGTAACTATGGATATAATCATCAACAACGTAACTGTGCACAGGAGAAAAACAGGAAAGCAGCAATAGACACAACCTTTTGACCTCCCTGTTAATGATCTGCTGAGAACGTCCAAAAAAAAAAAGTGAAAAAACAGGACCTCTAGTGGCCATATTAAACAAAAACCAATATGCACTTCAAGAAGCCACCACTGGACATACTTCACAAAACCTTAATACTGTGTTCTCTGCTTTCTAATTTTAGCAGCTTATACTTCTGCATGTTTTACTGGAGCAGATACCCCGACTGAGGATTCTGTAATAGAACTTGAATCAGCTTCAGATTATAAGTCTGTATGTTTAACCATCATCACTCTTCTCAGTGATGGGCATCCTCGACATTAATGGCAAAATTGACTGGCATCAAGCCATGCACATTTGACTGGATTGAAAAGACATGTGTCATGATCACTTTTGCATGACCTAATGTCCATCCATCCATCCGTCCATCCATCCATCCATCCAGCCATCAGTGCTCATCGGGGTCTCAGACAGGACTGGACACAAGCACGACGGACCACCTAGATGGGATGCCAGCTGAGCACAAAGTGCATGCGCACGATTTTGCCTGTTGCATGTCTTTGGGCTATAACCAGATATGGGAATTTCCTTTTTATTAAAGGTCATTTAAACAAGTTCACAATAGAAATCAGTGACTAATGGATGAGCTGAATACTTACCCAGTGAATCACTTATGAGAGAGTAGATTTATTTTTATTATAAGCAAGTTCAATTACAGTTTGGTTAAAGAAATTTACTTGACTGACTGAACGCCAGAATCAAAGTTAGGAACAAATGTCTTCATAAAATGATTACGTGTTTAATTAATTAATTAATCTGTTAATTAATCAATCAATTGATTGATTGATTGATTGATTGGGTAATTAAGAAAGAGCGTCATATAGAACAATGTAAGCAAATGAAATAAAAATGCCAGTAAATTATAATACATACAATAAATGTCCCAGAGGAATGACAGTGTTCCTGCTTTACCATCTCATAACCAAATTTCTCAATTACAATGGCAAGAAGAAATTTTCACCCTGCTGACAACTGAAAATGTCCCACATACCATACAAGAAGTGCTGCATATGAGTGAACTTTTCATACAATTTACATTAGAGATGGATAAAATCTCCATGATATTATGTTTAGCTATGAATATTCAATTCTGATGTGAAACATGCCCTGGGTCTTAGATTTCACAAATACCAGATAAGATACTAATGTTTTAGCATTCTTTTTATGAACCATTAAAGATCTGAGATTCAAAGGCCTTTTAATCAGTCAGTTGTGGTGTTCCAAAAGTTACTAAGCGCTAAACCACATAATGAGGCAAACTATCATGGGAGGCAGAGAATTAATTTTAACTTAAGCCACCAAATGTTATTGTATACACATTTACTAGAAGGCTTTGTGTTCTAACCACAGCATAAATGTAATATTATTCATAACTGTAGCTTTGCCAGATCTTTTAAACTGCCTATAAATGAGTGTTTAAAAATTGTTACAGATTTTATTGCTGATATTGTTCTATTTCTACTTGCATTCTAGACAACGTGATACAACTCACAAAACAATTATCACTCTCATTCTTTCCCTAAATCGAAGGAAGGCTGATTTACATAGTTAGGGGGGATTCTTTGAGGCCGCATGTAAGTCCTGCATTCCTCACCTGGAGCCAAAGCACATTCCCAGCCTGCGTATCACTGGGTTTATATGCGCTTCGCGTGCCAACATTTCCTGTGCTCCATATCTGGACTGAGCTACCCAATGGAGCAAAGTCATGCAAGATGGGAGTGGTTCCGTTATGAGGTCACGATGGGGGACTGAACTGAGGTTGGAGCAAGTGAGGAGCTCGGCACTGGAGAGCGATAAACATGAGACGGAGACGCGTGAGCTGAGCGATACCGGGAAGCTTTTTTTTAGTTGAAACATGTCGCGTTAAAGGCTATCGGCAGCGTCGAGGTCTCCGGATTGCGTCTCTCTCTGCATGCAAAGGGGAAGCAGCCCGACTGCCGGTCCGGGTGGCTGAACAGGAAGAAATTCCCGAGCTTGCAAAAAAAAAAAAAAAAAAAAAAAAACCACAGAGGAAAAAAAAAAGACGCATGAGTAAAGGCAAGAAAGTTTTCCTTGTTGGAAACATTCTGGAGCGAAACTTTGCTGTTACTGTGAAGCTTTTACAATGCACTTTCTTGGCGGGGTGAGATAGTTGCTGGTTTTGCGCCGCTTTCTTGCGTCTTTTGAAGATCAGTCCTCTTTGGTGGCTTACAAGAACATCAACAAAACTTTTAGGAACGGAAAATATAAAGCTATATCAATTAACGTCTGACACTATACTTGGACCGCATGCTTTTCTTATATCTATTTGGAACACCGCGATTTTTTTGTTGCTGTTTTTGATCGACTATTGAAACAGCTTGCGGTTGGAGCCTGGGTTTTGATTTTACAGTAGTGATTGGGGGTTTGGGGGGGCGGGTTGGATATACATTCCTTTTTCCTACATGGCCTCTTCAAGGATGTACCTTCTTGTGAAATACATACTGATCTCCCATCTTACTATCCTGATCGCGAAGAGTAGCCGGGCACTGCTGTGTCTCCCATGCGACGAGTCAAAATGCGAGGAGCCGAAGCTCTGCTCCGGTGCCGTGGTGCTGGGAATCTGCGGCTGCTGCTCCGTTTGCGCCAAGCAGAAGAACGAGACGTGCGGCGGCGTGTACGGGCTGTACGGGACCTGCGACCGGGGGCTCCGCTGCGTGATCAGACCGCCTCTGGATGGCGGCTCCATCACGCAGTATGAGGTCGGGGTTTGCGAAGGTTTGTATTGCAAACTGTCTTTAATCAAACGTTTGTTCGGAACAAAGTTGCGGAAAAGACATGCGGGCGACTTGGTAACACCAGTATCAGTTAAAGTAGGAAAGGGGTTGGGAATGAATAGGGGTCGTGAAATTTGCAGTGGTCCTGCGCGACTGACGTGTTGTTTTCTGGACGTCGGAGCGGCCCGGACACGTGTCAAAACACGTATAGTTAGTATGATCAAGTTGGTAATCGATGCTGATCAGTTTTTAATCGTATAAGTGACGTGCGTACGTCTCAAAATACGATGTCATAAATTTATTTGCTAACTTAAAATTTAGGTAGTTTTGTGTATTCTCATTAACGATACAGATGTTGCGGTTGTTGGTATTGTAGTTATGGAATACTGGAATACTTAACAGCAAAAGTTATCATCCTTCAGCTGTCAGTGTTGTTTAACAGCGGGGACAGAGACTGGGAGAGACTGTTGGTTAATGTGTTTGCAGCATGTCGGTTTTCCGTTGCTTTTGGGGATTGCTAACGGATTCCATGCTGTACTTGGACGCTGTGCCAGTCCCGTTTTTTCCGCCGAGGCTTGTCGGTTTTTCGCCGGAATGTCTGCTATGCGCCTCAGCCTCTGCATTTTACACGTTTAACCGATGGCTGCCGAGGGACAGCTTGCAGAACAGGTTGCTGCTTTTCACTGGTGAAATATAGTTGTCAGTTATACTTGATGACAGCCTTGCGATACGTGTATATACGATTGACGCTATATCTAATTTTTATTGCAATTTAGAAAATACAAAATGTATACTGACAGAGTGCAGGGTTATAACTGTCTTCTCTTCTGACAACGTGAAACTGTGTAGTTGTAAAGACCCACTCTTAGTATTTAGATCTTTAAACCTGTAGTAGACTTGGTAAAGCAATGTCGGAACTGGATGCTGGAAAATACCCGTTTTTTAAATGATCTGTCAGGTAAATAAGAGCACAAGAAGACAATAATATTTCCGTTTGCCTCACTGGTGCCTTCTGCTAGAACAAGTTTAAAGGCCCATTGTACTGTCAACGAGACCGAAGCAGGACCTGGAAGTTTGAAAGATCCACATTATAAGCCTGACTATTCCCTAAATACCTTAAGGTCCCGCTGGTTCTTTCTGCTACATCACATCCTGATTAAACCACAGACTCGCCTGTGATTCCTCTGGCTGCATTTCAAGAGGCAGTCAAGATAGATTTCAGTTAAATGCATTTTCTTCAAATACTCAAGAGAGGAGGAACAATAAGAATTACGTTCTGTTTTTGTGAATCCCTATAGACTGAAAGAGTGAATTTACATATGTTTGTATACAGATTTTGAAGTTTATTGTCCAGCAGTATAGCAGTTCAATATTAGGAAAACCATTTGAATATTTCCTGTAACTTAGCTGTCTTTAAAAACGTACACACACAATCATCTTTATAGGTATATGTGTGTATATGCAAATATAAAATCCATATTTTATTATTCAGCATTTGTTTAATCAAGTATAAAGGTAGCCATGGTTGTGGTGATTATATTCTAATGATGATTGAGAGATACCATGTGACCTTGGGTAGAAACCCACATGATCCAGTGAGAACACAGCAGACTGGGGGCTGAATTTAGCCCCCCACCCCTGAAGATGTGAGATGATGTTTCTGCCTCTTGAATCCCCATGTAGGCCACCTGTACAGTAGATGTATCACAGCTAATAACGGCTAATAGTGAATAAATGAGGCTATAAATTAGGTTACTGTTGTGCCCCTAAGTGGGTGATCTTATCTGGCAGTGTCTTTGACAAAATCAGTAACTGAATCAACATTTAGATGTTGATTTATGGGGTTTTATGGGTGTAGAATTGGCTTACAGAAAATGAACTAGTAGAAGCTGAGCTGTTAGTTGTGATTTCTTTGAATATATAAATTAGTTAAAAATGGTGAAATATCCATCTCCCATGCCACCAGTCCAGTGAAGAGTCTAGCGCAGGGCTGTTCAAGTCAGTCCTCCAGGGTCGAGCACTGCTGGTTTTCCAGCCTTCCTTTACCGTTGAGCCAGGTGTGAAGCCTCCAGCCAATCAGAGTCAGTGATTATTAAACTAGCTATCTGGGAGAACTGAAAACAAGGCCTGGATTTGGAATCGAGGGTCAGATTTGAAGAGCCCTGGTCTAGAGTCTGTTCCAGGAACAGTTGGGCTACTCTCCTCAAGGCACAACAAGCACCTTAGATGGGAGGCCAGTATATCGCAGGGTGCATAGTCACACATTGCATTGTGGGTAATTTCGGAAAGATCCCAGCTGACCTAACTGAACGTTTTTTTTGGATCGTGGATGGAAAGCCTGGGAGAATATGCAGCATTAACATTTCACGCTAACCTCCCACAAAACCCTGGAGATGTGAGGCCTCTGGGAGCCACTGAGTCTCAGTGCCATTTGATGTACGGTCATTACTTAGTTAAAATATAGGTATTTACATTCTAAAGGGGAAATCACGTGTCTCACTTCTACAAAGGGAGGCTCAAGACGGGCTCAGTGCAGTGATCAGCTGTCAGTCTCCTGCCACCATGCAAATAGACTATGACTTTCCAATATGTAAGGATTCCCTTTAAGTGTTTAAAGAAACTGCTTCTTTCATCTCTTAAGAACAGTAAGGATTGTAGAGCGCCGTAGATATTCCTAGGGCTCCGCAGCATGATGGTGTGGGTCATAATGGGAGGATTGGGCAAGGGACGAACACGAAACGCTGCTTGCGTCATTAAAACTCGAAATCCACTTCGCGCCTTCATGTACTTTCGACATGCTCTGTAACGTAACCTCTCTATCCAAAGTCAATCTGGAAAAGAATGAAAAGATGGTCAAGGCAAGGTTTGCAGACTGACTTGGTGACTCACAGGTTTACCCCCATAAATGTAAAACACAAAGCAGTAGTAATCCCTTGTTTGTTTCATTTGACAGGTTTATTATGTCATCAGTTATTCTGTTTGCTAGTTTTCTTAACATACCTTCTGGTGAAAACCACTGTGTTTAATCTGCCTCTGTGTCAGGCAGAAGATTCAAATTTTGCTCAATTTAAGAACGTTTAAACGGTTTTATAAAATCATTTATGACTCAGTCAGTTTTTCGACCTGTTTCATGAACTGCCACAACTTGTGAGGCCTCCTGGTAGGAGCCACCATTAACTCATTGAGTTAAAGACCACTGTTAAAAGACCCCCTTCCTCAAGCCAGGTAAGCACAATATCCTGGGCACATGCTGATGAAATGAGCCCCACATTTGCTCAGTAAGCTGTGTCACTCTCACCCTATTTAAATAATAAAAGCAGGTTGTGCTGAGCGTTTGGCTTGGATTGAAAAAAAAATAGACAAATCTGTTTATATCCCAGCCTACAGAAAAAAATGCAGTTAAGTAAGAATTTAATCTAGTGTTTGATGTTTATTGCTGAATTTGAATAGCTCCACTGATCTCTTAAAATATTTGAAATATGACAAACTGTATATTGCAGTGTTATCTTAATTCTAATATTTATGTGTGATCTTAATTCTAATATTTATGAGTGAGCGGAAATGACCACCTAAGTCCAAATATATTTTGTGTGCCTTAAACTTTGCATCAGAGCAGTTTTTCAGTATTCACATTTTATTGCCTTATAAGTGTTTATTAGCTTAGATGGGTATTTATGCACATCAACTGTGTAGTACTTTGGCACTAATAAATTATGCATCTTCACTATATTATGTATTCATGTCATAGCTGTTAATACAGGAGAAAACTGAAGTAATAAAACAGGGCACTGTTTCTGAAAATGTGTGCAAAGGCATTGTCATAATTGATATGCTGTATGTTAGCCTAGCAATTACATACCTGCCATATTGTGCATTTTATTGTTTGATAAAAGGTTGCTAATTTTTAAAAATAAAGATTGACCTCTTCTATGGAATTAAACAGGTAATTGTTGAATAATCCTGGAAATTTCTATGTTTTATTGCTGTTTATGAGCAGGTTTGCACACTAACATAGTGTTAGCTTTAATTTGTTTTTATCTGATATTTTAGCCCATCACTGTGTGCTGTGGGAGAAAAAAACCTAATGATGTTTTCCACTTCCACTGCGTCTTTTATCGGAGGATGTATCTTATCAATGGTGCTATCTTTCTCCAGTGCTGCTTATACTTGTACCTGGGCACCCATTGTAAGCTCAGCCTGGCTATACTTACTGCTGTAGCTACTCGACCCCTTGACAGCTGTATGTTTGTAATGTGGCTCTTGCATCAATTGTATGTAACTTTGGACAAAACCATCTGGTAAATAGCTGAATGGAAATATACCTGTAGAAATAAGTGTAACTGGTCCTCTCAAATTGTTGTATGTCATTCTTGCCAGCATCAATAAAGTTTTACTAATTAACAGCCATCGGCCATGACTGTAGTGACAGAGAAGCCATCTGTAGCTCTCAGTGTAAGGCATGTCCCCAGAAGGTTAGCTGCGGGACTGGTTCTGTCCATGTCCCACTTCCCCAGTTTGCACTGTCTGTTAGCAAACATTTGGGGAGAATGCCATTACACTCAGGTGCTCATAGACGATACCTTGCTGGTTTACTTCACAGCATGTCCTGCTTTTGGGCCATTTGCTATCACTGTGTTTTATTGTACAGTTTTACCGAGTACCTCTGTTTGACAGTGTTTTGGTTATCTCTTGTTTAGCATTTTAAACAGGACAAGTTTACTTAACCATAAACAGTTGCTACTATAAATGGTGTCTTTTTTTTTAAAACTCAAAACATCATAAATACATTAAAGTACAGCATCAACTGTCTTGACAAATCAGAATGAGAACTGTCACGGACGGAGTGGTTTGAGACATGCGTGTTGGGTAGGATTTAAGCATTTTGTTACATGCAAGGTATTCATCAGACTATAGCCTGCAGTGATAGGTGGTCAGCACTGCCATAATTAAAACAGTGAAAGCAATTAAGACATAAAAATTAACTTTATAATAAATATGTCATGGGCAAAGAACAGAGTTACAGAGAGACGAAAGGTAAATTGTACATTTGCATATTTGTATACAAAAAAGGTGTGTGTGTGTCTGTTTCTCTGTGTGTGTCTCTCTCTGTTTCTGTGTGTGTGGTACAGGTATGCATTACACTGTAAGGCCCAAATGTCCCCACAATGTGATTAAAACCTGTTATTTTGATATTGTGGGGACCATTATTTTGGTCCTCACAAGGGGAAATTCAACTTTATAAAAATCTGTGACTGCAATCAAAAAGCTAAAAATGCCAAAAGTCTCATATTTTGCTTGGTTACTTATGGTTAAGGTTAGGACTGGGTGGGAGTTAAGGTCGTCATGCTGGGATTAGGGATTTGGCCATAGAAATGAATGGAGAGTCCCCACAAAAATATGAGTTCAGATATGAGTCTGTGAGTGTGTGTGTGTGTTTAGTGCATGCATTCTTTTTCTCTTCAGTTCTTGAACAATCAAAATGGTTTATTGGCATAACATAACTGAAGCTGCATTTTGTCAAAAGTAGATTCGAGAAATTGACATAGACGCTTATCAGCCTGAAAACTTATCCAGCGTTTTGTACTTTTTAGAAAATATGTTCATAATGCACAAGTGGAAATAGAATCCTAGAAACTCCTTCTATTTTTTTTAACCCTTTACCTTGAGCTACTGTACCGTGCTAATCCACTTTTCAGTCTTTCACCTGTATATCCTCGACCAGGTCACTGGAATATTATTCTATGTTCTCATTTAATGTAACAGTTGTAATGGAATACCGTGTCACTGGCATACCAAGGTGAAGTCAGATCTTCTGCTGTGTTTTGATGAGATCTCTCTGCATGGCCAAGTCACCTTAAAACTATCCCATCTGTTTTAATACCCATGAAACAGTGGGTCAAAATAAGTGCATTTAATCCGAAAATAAGGAAATAAGGAGTCTGTGTGTGATTCCCAAACCAGTCACCATGCATCTTTTAACTTCACAGTGTTTTGGTCAGCAGATCAGCCTAATTTCCCTTTCTTTAAAAGTGTAAATATTTGTTTATTTCTATATGGTTTACTTCTATATGGTATATTTTATAACTGAGACCAAAATAATAAGCTTAGAAAATAAGCGTATTGAAAGAGTTGTTTCATGCAACCTATATTATGTTCTTAGAATAATAATAATAATAATAATAATAATAAAAATAGCAATAAGTAGTATAGCATAACCAAAAAATCTTAGGAAAACATTCTTTAAGAATTTAAAAAATCATGCTAGAGGCACAGCTTTGGTACATCCCATAATCTCCTGATGAAGAATCGGCGCGCTCCAGAGCCTTGCCTCTCTGCTTGTTTTTCAGTTCATTTTTCTGGAATGTGCCTTTGGCCGGCCGAACTGGCTTAGTGTCCACACTCAAGCTCGCAGGCCGATGCCAAATGGCCTGGTGCTCAAAAAGAAGGATAAATGGTAAGGGTGAAGGAAACAGAGAGGGCACAGAGATGCCAGCATGCTGATAATTTGTCCCTCTGTTGGGTCTGGGCCAGCATTCCTCAGCTGCTTTCTGAGCAAACTCCAAGCAAGTCCGAGCATGAGCAGGTAGGCAGGGAGGCAGATGAAAATAACAGTCTGATCAAGATGATGCTTTGCATGAAGATGAGTCTTCTGCTCCCCTGACAATGATTCGGTAACACTTTCTATGAAGTGTACATAAGATATGACACCTTTGCTAGCTGAAACATGCATCTTTTGTAAACGTTTTTGTCCGAGGAAGGTGCGAGTCACCTCAGCATCCACATTTTCAAACGTGTTTGTGTTTGCTTATCTCGTATGGAGTTGTGAAGTGTATGCGAGTGTCGTGTGCATTAATTATTCCATTCAATAATTAACACAGCAAGTAAACATTCACAGTTAATACTGATATTACTTAAAGATTTTCTGTGAAACATCTGTGTATTTAATGATGCAAATCGACTTGTCAAAACATTTTTGTATTACTCAGGGATTTTTTAATTCACTTAGGTTCTCGCTTATCCTTAATATAACTTTCGTCATGTTAAGATTTAATCACATTAAGGTTTCAGGTTCATCAAAGAATGTCATTTCTTAATCCAAAGTATTTGTTGCACTCACTGAATTGAATTTCTGTTAATTTAATAAGTGCCATGAAAGTGCAATTGTTGACCAGTGATGTATGTTTCATTTAGCCATATGTAATTAATTGTGCAATTCTTGAAACACCTTGTTTATGGACATTTGAGTTGAATAAATTGTATTGTTGTTTGATTGTTGCTTGCCTTGAAAGTGACATTTACTCTATTTTGCAGTCATATATTTAACGCGTGAAGGATAAACAATCGCAGACCGAAAGCTGAGAGAGTCATTTAGGATAACGGGGATCCTGATTTTTCGCAACACAGCCAAATATGATATCTGCATGTGTCTGTAAGCAAATGATGATGCTGCTGTGGTGAAAATTTATGAGCAACGTGGATGTCTGTTTATTTTTTTGTAAATCTGGAGCACATATTGGGGGAAAGATGTTTTGAGCGTGCTCTTCTATCATTAGGGTACAGAAACATAATATCGGGAGTCGGGAGCTATAAACAACATGATTTGAAGAGCACAGGGTCTTGAGATTGAATACAGCAGAGAAGCCATAAATTTTCTGCTAGACATGCTAAGGACCCTCCACCAGTACGTGGTTACTAACCATTCATTGTGTTTTTTATTCAAAAATACGACCATTATAGAAATATGGAGCATAGAAACAATATCACTATAATTGCAATATACAATACAAGTGGTTTGATTTGCTAAACCCTTGTAATAGTTGATGAGCTAATGGAGTAGTTGCTGTAGTCTCAAAGGTAATTTAGGCGTCTGATGATCAGTCCATACATTTTCTTTCAGAATTAAGACTATGTGTTGTGTATCAAGTTGTATGAACCAGTTGTAATAAACAGCATGCTGAATAGTATGTCAACAAGAGTTATCAGCTTGTTGCATGAATCTATAGCCAATGAAAACTAAAGACGAATATGGTAACACTTTCTATGAATCTGTTAGAATCTATGAACACATTCATAACACATTACAATGCATTCATAAAGCATTATAAACATGCCTATAAATATAAAATCGCATGACACATTATAGCCATGTTTATTATGCATTATGACTGTCTTATGAAACTCTCATGTATAATACACTATAGATGCCTTTATAATGCAGTACAAAGCACCCATAATGCTTATACCAACCAATGTAATGCATTATGAAGGTATCTATAGTGCATTATAGATGACGGCTTCAAGTGAAGTCTTCCCATGAATACAAAAATGCTGTACTTCTGTCATCATGAATGACACCTGCTCTGTGTATCCTTGTTTGTCTTCCTACATTCAAGCAATCTTGTTCACCATTTTAGACACTTCTGCATTGCAATAATTGCATATTTAGTTTAATTTTCTAAAAAGAAATCACTAAATTCCTTGCTGAGTATCTGATAAAAACCTAAAATTAGAACATTTAAGTTGATGTGAATATTTAAATGTTAAAATTAAAGTTAAGTTTACCTGTTTAATAATCATGAAGAATAATCCTTTTGAGCTCATGAACTTTGTTTAGGTTTCAAATAATTTAAGTTCTCCCTTCTGAACCCTTTCCTCTCTATTCTCTCCAATCAGATGAAAACTGGGATGATGATCAGCTTTTGGGATTTGAGCCTTGCAATGAGAACCTGATTACGGGATGCAATATCATTGACGGAAAATGCGAATGCGACAGCGTGCGGACATGCAACAACCCCTTCGAGTTCCCCAGTCAAGGGGCCTGTCAGGCTGCCCTTAAAAAGATTGAAGGTAGGCCTTGCTGTTGGTCGTTGCACTCTGCACGTTTATGCATTTTTTCCCTGCACTCATTACACGACAGCCCTGCAATTTTTCATTTTAGAATATGCCTTTTGAAATAAAGGTATGCTCCAGCTTATTTAGATGTGGAATATCACACATTTTCCTTTGGAATTCTGAGATTTCTTTTATTTCAATCATTCATTCTTGTGAGGCTTAGCGATCTTAGATAATTGCTCATTTCCTGTGGTGGTCCTACTGCTCGCAGCCCCCTGACGTTTAAAATTAGTTTTTATATATATATATATATATATATATATATATATATATATATATATCACAAAGCTCGCTGCTCTCTCTGAGGTTATTACAAAACAGCACGTTCGCTCCAAAGCCAAATCACCCGCTTTTTTTCTCGCCCAGCGTTGAATACATATTTTTAGGCAGGGCGCTGAGAGCAACTGCTGATAGATTAATTTATTCCTTTTGCGGACTTTTAAATAAAAAAATAACAAATAGCAGAGTATTTAACGCTTAGAAAGCTGGATCATTCTTGATGCTGTTTGGGCTGTCCGTGCTTCTCTGCAATAAGGCCTCTTTCAGCTGAGTCTTGGAATATTTTTTGTCACATGTTCTGCTCCAGATATCCAACTGTTGATTCTATTAATCAATGGAAAGTTCTGGAAAAAAAGTGCTTTTAGTTGCTTGAACCCCACGATCATGTTGGCATTAGTAGCGTCCTTCCACTATTTCTGTTAATATCTCAGCAATAGCTTTACTGTTTCTACTCTGCTGAGAGCTAGTTGGACAAAAAACAAATCTTCTGGTAGTTTAACTTCTAGGTTCAGCCAATTGTCAGAAAATGCTGTTTATATCAAGGCTGTATCTTGCTTTTTTCAGAACCGTTCAGCACAAGAAAATAACACAAAACAAATTGCAGTTATTACAGTATCAGTTGTCTTTCCCTTCTGTTTAGAGTTTTCTGTAACTATGGTAATCTCGACTACTGTTTTAACCCATACAATCTGTAGCAATAATGCTTGATTGTCAGTCAGTTTTTTTTGTGTGTGTAGCACTTTTTTTAAGGTAAGCATTTGATTAAGTATTTTTAGTTGTATGATAGAATGTTTTAGGAATTTAGAAGCTGTTTGAGGCAGGGGGCAGAGTGTGGCAGAGACACTGTTGTGGGCCAGCTTTCCAGATTACAATAAGGTACTGTAGCTCAGGACCAGACGACCCCCAGTTAGACCAGAGATGAAAGTGGTAGAAAGTATTTTATTGATAGATGCAATGTGGAATAGCCCTGATGATCAATGTAAGTATAGAGGATATATTTAGGTATGAAAGTGAAAATCAAAACAAGTCATGTGACAGGTATAATTTTATGCAGTAAAACAGAGAACCTGTGGTCAAGGTTTATCCTTCACTCTGTATATCTATTTTTAGCTCAAAGAGAGACTCAAAAGATCTGTTTTACCCAAGACAGTATGTCTGACTCCCATGATCGAGCGCATTATCACATTAAACTGAAACTCCTGCTTCCCGTTTGTGTCCTTTTGTATCCTTTTAATTCTCAGTAGAATATAATGAGCATTTTGTGAGTGAAATAATCAGGGTGTAGTGTGTTGAAAGGGTAGATCCTCCAGATGATTTGTGGAAGGTCTAGAAAAACACACACAAAGTGAAGAGCAGTATTTAAAAAACAAAAAAATTCTAGAGTCAGTATAGGGGTGATTGCAGCACTAATGTTTATACTTTAGCAGTATTAAGAATTTTGTTGTATTCTGAATTTCTTGAGTGAACGAACTGGTTTCTGCATGATTTTTAGGCAGATTTTCCTACTTGGTATTCTGCTGATGAAATAAAGGTGTATTTCTGATGTAAGAGTAAATTGTAAGGCCCTTGTCCTGTGTTATGCTTGAATATTTCATTAAGGTTCCTGCATTGACCCTGAAGGCAAGTATTATACAGGTTTAAAGTCTCACAGCATATGCTGTTGATGTCGGTTCTGCCTGCCGTGTTCAGTCGGAGGGAGTTCTATGGCGTGCTGTCCCCGAAATCCTTTGCAGAGCTTAGAGAGTTGAAATATTTCATTCCATTTGACAGATACAAATAATTATGTGTCTTCAGCTCAACAGTAGTAATTAACACCGTGGTCTCAAATAATATCCTGGAAGGGCAGTGCATATACAGTATGGAGCAGAGTAATGGACCCAACACTCACCCGGTTTGGAAATCCATACACAGCTGCCGAGAATTTTGAGGATTCATTATGTGTTTGAGCATTCGAGCTGGTCAATGTCTGACACAATTCAAAGTTCTAAATCAAGCACCAGTCCACAGAGAGTAACAGGAACAGAAGCATTATTATCTCAGAAGCGCAAGAACGGAGACACAACAGGCCGAGGACAGAAACAAGTCAGTCATTACTCTGACAAGTGCTCTTTCAGTGTTATGGTATCCTCTGAACCTAGACTGATACACGTCATAAACAGTGCTAGACTGACACATTAAAACTTTACCCACAGAATAAAACTGTTTAATCCATCCATGCTGTGTCTATACCTGCTCGCCCTATGCAGGGTGACAGCTGGACTGAGCTATGGCTTTGTTTGTTTTGTTTGACAGCAGCATTGCGGACGCTGTGTTGTTTGTGTGTTCATTTTGTTCTGTAATTTTTTCCCCCACTTTCATCATTTAGATATTCTGTGAGTATGGGTTTTTTTCTCTCATTAGTATGTTCATCGTTAATAGCAGTTCTATGAGGTTCTATTAGTATCAGAAAAAATTCTTGTCATCCAGGCTTTAGAAATGTACCACTATTTAAAATCGGCCTGTAACATTGTCTTTTTTTGCCTAGTGAGTTACTAAGAAAATTTCTTGCCATCCTGGCAAAACTGTAACTTTTTTTTTGCAGAGTATTAAGTGCATCTGTTAGTGTATTGGGGCTAGCTTTCTGCTGCCGTTACAATATGGACTTGCCATATTTATTTACATTGTGGTGGAGAACATTATGCTTCAGATTCATTGTTTGCTTGTCGCTTGTGGTCTGCATGCAAAATAAGTTCATTCACACTTAAGGGTAACATTAGAGGTCTTTTTAGACAACTATAATTCCTTGCACATATATTACAGGTCAGCTCTCTCCGTTTACGTACACGGTGGGATGGCGGGAGAGGCATCACTGACACACATACGGGTTCTCCTGGTTTTCTTTGGCAACGGCCGTAATCTGCCACCATAAAAATCTGACTACTCGGCGAAACCCAGCTGGTTTGAGTTTGAAGAACTGGTGAACAGTGCATCTAACCAGCTGGGTTAAACGGATATTGTGTGTGGAGTCTGAGAGGCTGCATGACTGGGCTTCGCCGTATGTAGGACGGCTGTTAGCAGCAGGTGATGGTATGTTTCTAGACTCGTTTGATTTTACCGTTTCTCATTCTCATTTCGTCTTTCTTACAAATGGTTAAATGGCTAAATAATAGCTGTATTTTTCCTGCTTCCTCTTGTCATCCTGCCCCCCCCCCCTCCAGACAGCCAGAATGTCCATTGTACGTAATTCCTTCTCAAAGAGCAGCCAAATGCAGATGCCACCATATTGCTCTTTTAAAAGAAAATACTAGGAAAAAAGTTTTACAAAAGCCTCAGATGAATGAATACAAAGCATCTGTCTTGTTTATTTCTTCATTCACCTTGCGTGGGCAGTTAGTCCCTTTTTGTCTCTCTTAAGGAGAAGCTATCAATATTTATATAATTAATTTGCATTGATTTTGCTAGCTTTACAAGTAATCTGTGTGTATTATATATTTTTAACGTTAACTTGCTATTTGGTGCATGTGGATTCATATTAAAAACAATAGCAAATATCTGAGTGACATTAAGGGATAATTCTATTTGAATGATCTACAGTATGCTTATATATTTTTTTTAGGGTAACATGAGATTTCACGTTAGGAGAAAAAATTTATATGTACGTTTACTTTATGGTTTAACGGGCATAATGCCACTTCTTTTAAAGCTACAAAAAAAGATCATAATATGAAAACAGGCTCTGTTAAAAGTGGGGATATGGAAGAGGAGGGTAAGAAGTAAGGAAACGGCAGTGAAAATGTTAAGTGCGTTTGTGAAGGAAGCCTTGCTCTGGGAGTCGGGCCATGGTTAGCGTCAGCCGTCTGACCTCGCATAGGACAGGACATTAAAGGAAATGCCCAGCATTCCTTCTACGCAGTTGTGTCTCTGTGCTTTGGCACAGCTTCTGTGCTGAATATTTGAACTCAGGAGCCCGTCGCACTAATTGCAGGCGGCCGCTGAGAGAGCTGAGGAAGCCGTCGCCAAAGGCTACTTGTTTCGGCTCTGTGCTCCTTCGACTTGCCTCGACTTTGGAGCCTGTCGTTTTTTCCAGGGGGCAAAGAAATGCCACAGGAGGGTTTTTTTTTTTAAATAAATTTGACTGAAGTAAGCATGAAAGATTAATTACATGTGTGGCCGCTCACCGAGTTAGGAAATCACAGTTGGTGTGTGTGTGTGCGCGTGACACAGGATGAGGTGAGAATTAAGCACGGAAGATAATAAGTCACGATAGAACCAGTGTGTGTAGAATTCCACTTCCAGTTCACCAAGAGGCATTTTGCATAGTGAGGTGAGCATCATGGGGGTGTGGGGTAAGGTTGGGGTCTAAAGAATCTGCCAAATTAGAGAATACAGCCAGTATCAAAACTGTATCTAATTTGTTTTTCAAAATTAAAGGTGCTTTGCTGAACAGGTCTGATTTAATTAGTACCTGTCCGCCTCAGTCATTTTGTATCTGGCCAATCAAGCCTTTCAAGTAAATCTAGCTGGAATTCAAAATGGCGGGATCCCTGGTGGGTCCGACTGCTGTCCTACAACAGAAGAGAAGCCTGCATCTATAGGGGCACAGTGTTCTGCATAGAGCAGTGTCGGCAGATCAAAGAGGCATCATGTGTTTGGTGATTGGGAGAGAAAAACAAGCCTAAGTCTAAAATAAGTGTGCA